CGGGATGTCTCCGGCGGCAGTCCGACGCTAACAGATCAACAGAAGCGAAAGATCGATGATTCCAAGCTTGAAGCCGTTGCCAGGAAGGGGAAGCGACTCGCAGCATTGAGGGGATTGCGACTCCGCCATGCAGACCCGACCTCTACCTGGATTCCGGCACTTCCTGCGTCGCCGGAAGATTTCGACCTCTCAACAAGTCCCGATGTGGACATTCTGAAGTTCGTGCACCCGCACCTTAGGGATCTCAAAGTACAGTTCCATCCTGCAAGCCATGTTTATGAAGTTCATGGACAGGCGACCAACGGATCGGTCACTGGCATGATTCACGCTTTCTGCAACAAGTTTGACGCTGATACGACAATTCGAGGTATGCAGAATGGACCCAGATGGCCTCGCGAAGGCTATTTGCGAGAAAACATCTCCATGCATTCATTAGTTCGTCTCAGTATTCTTTGTCCCGAACTGCCTGGACTCTTTGTCGCACGTCCTCGGAACGATGCACAGATTGCAGGACTCCTTCAAAGACTTCGCCATGCAGACGACTTCGAAGACGAAGTCGTGCCTCAGCCTGTCACCACCAGAAATCAGGGACATGTGGAGCCGAGGATGCAGCGAGGCGGCTCACTATGGAACGTACATGCACTATCTCTTCGAGGCTTACTTGAATGGGTACGAAGTGCCGAGCAGTTCGCCGGAGTTTCGCATGTTTCAGTCTTTCCTGTCCACGATCGACCGGGACGCAACTGTGTGGCGAACTGAGTGGGTGGTTTACGGCGAGGACGAGAACATCGCAGGGTCCATCGATTTTTGTGCGAGGCTGGCCGATGGTAGCCTCATGCTTGCAGATTGGAAGCGCGCATCTGGACTTCGCAATAAGTTTGGCTCGCGGCAACAAATGCTGCCTCCTCTCCAGCACCTTCCTGATTGCACTGGAATGCGCTACAGACTGCAACTCAATGCATACAGGTACATTGTAGAGAAGTACTATGGTTTTCAGGTTTCGAGGATGTGCATTGTGTGCTGTCATCCGGAACACGGCGCAACGCCATTGGTGGATGAGGTGGGACGGTTTGAAACCGAAACCGAAGCCATGATGGCCATGTGGCGGGATGCAAGAGGTGGCGCTGCTGCGTCTCCGCTTCCAGGGAGGCTGGAAACCAGGTTGGAGGTGTGGGAAGGAACCCAGCGCCAGCATGCAAGTTTCTTCGCTGAGTTTCCGAACGGCATCAAGATTCTTCCCCACCCAAGTGAGTGTCAGAGTGACAGCAAGCGAATCTGGGAGAAGAAGATGTACATCAGCCGCAATTTGCTTGCTATGCTGATTGATGACTACTACAACAAAACCTATATCGTCTACCTCTACATCTGCAACTTAATGAGACATCATCCCGCACAGTGTCGACTGTTCGAGACTGCAATCCCACATCCTGCAACTGCCAGTATGGATTCAAGAAGGTGGCTTGGTGCCGTCATTGATTTCCTGGTGGTTCATTTTCCTCCACACCTTTACGCGAGCTTGCGGTGTCGGAAAGATGTTCGAGGTGGGTCGCAAGAATCAATCATGCCTCCTGTTGGTGTTGACCCTGAGAGAGACGCAACGATGGAGCCAGTAGAGGTCCAGGTTCCTGATGCGAATGACCAGCCAGAGCGGCTCACGGGCTTGTCGCAGGAGTTGGAAGGCTTCATAGACGAAGCTCAGCATTCGGAGCATCTGGAAAGGGCACGAAAACGGCGAACTCTGCCAGGCGCTGCTACGACTGCACAAGACTTCGAGCTGGAGCTGAGCAGATACAACACTGCTTGTGACACCTCCCTTGACGGAGCAGTGCAGTTCTCTGCTTCTGGTGAAGCGACAACTCTGCAAAGAGTTGAGGGTTTGAAGCGCTGGGTGTTGCAACGTATGCCGAATCTGGATGACGACATGCTCCGTCTTGCGGTGGGGGCTCTGTCAGTGTACAGGCTGCGTTTGTGGGATATGCACATACGAGAGCATGTCCTGCTTCTTTGGATTGTCGAGGGAGGTGAGCACATGAGGTGCCATGGTGGCAACCTGTATTTCTATCAGCACGGGGCTTTCACAGTCCACAGAGGCATCCCCCCTCAGGCTACTTTGGCTAGATGCAAAAAATTCGTCTTGGTCCTGGAAGGTTTTTTTCGTTCCATCACTCGCTCAGGGTTGGACAATGACCAGCAAGTTCTAGACGAGCTTTCGACATTGCTGTCGCAGAGAAACAATTCCCGGGAGCTGATGCAAGACTGCGAGACTGCAGCCTTGCGTGGAAAGCGCTTGCAGAACAAACGAGCACGTTCTGCTGTGCTACAGGATCAGGAAGCAGCACACGATGCTCCATCTGCTGCAGACGAGTCCGGATCGAACGCATTGGCAGATGACCTCTCCAAGATAGGGTTGGCAATGCAAAGGCAGCTTCTCGAAGACCGAATTTTCAATCTGGTGGTAGAGTGGTGCGACACGCCGCAGGTGCGTGCAGCAGGATGCTCGTACCAGGATTGTGCAGTCATGTACGACCTGAAGTCAGACCAGCCCATTACGATGGTTGGTGACAGTCCGAACAACAATCTGTACTTGCACATCGCACACCCCCTCCTACAGCCTCGACTTGCAGACCCTGTGCTAAAAAATGCAGAGGAAAGACTTCTCAAGTTCTATGCGCAAACATTCTGGCTCAACAACGACGCAGCTCTGCGAATTAGTGAGTCTTCAAGCCCAACGGTTCAAGCTTCTCAAAGTTGGCTATGTTCTGCATTCATTGGGGTGGCAGTAATTAATCCATTGTCAGTTTTCGTGGACTCACTCTCCAGGTCTTCGCCTGCAACCAAGCCGCAATCGCCCTGGCCAAGCGCGGCGAAAACATCGTGAGATGCTTCATCGGAGAGAGCCCTGGAGGCTGCAAGTGCCTGCAAAGTAGCGTCGTGTCGAAAGTTATGGTTTGTGTTTGGCTTCGAGAAGTCATGAATATCAGACAAGGTGTGGGGCAGTCTCTCTACAGTGCTCACCTTGATGCGGTCTACTCTCCGAATCACAAGTTCATAGACCCGAACATATGGTCGCTTGGCCCGAGTTTGGCATATATAGTAGGCTTGAGCATGCATGGGTAGCAGACTATCACACCAACTGTGCAACAGACCAGGTATGACGAATCCGAAATGAGGAAACAAGTCGAGCAGAGCGCCGGATGTTTCATACTCACAGCACAAGAGGCTCCCGAAACCAACAAAAAGATGCGGGAGGATTTGTTCAAGAAGACGATGTCAGCGGATGGCATCGCTGGCCGGCGGCCCTACGGGATGCAAACCCGAATGATCGAGCTGGTCGGCTGGAAGCGCTACGAGCTGAACCGTTTCCTCAAGTTTCAGGGAGTGTCTGAGCAAAACCTACCCTCAATCCTCAGAAGATGTATGGTCTGGAAGCCAATGGCCAGGTTCATCGAGGAGTCTATTATCTGTGATGTGTACCCCGATGCCAATCTGGATGGCTACTTCTCTAAGGATGACACGTTGAAGGATTTCCTCAGATCCGGCCCCGCAGTTGCAGCTGCTTTGCGTGTTCAGCATGGCTTCGAGACGTTGCACAGTCGACAGCAGTGTGTGGACAAGATTGAGAACTATGCCAACCAGCCCTTCACGGAAGATCGCGTCAGATCGGCATGTGGCTTGCCGAAGAAGGTTCGCTCAGGGGAGAGTGATGCTCATCTGCGAGTACCAGTGGATCCACCGAGTCAAGAGGACGATGAAGACAAGAAGACATCAGAAGTTGAGTTTCTATCGCCGATCGCGGAGCTTGTCAAGTCGCACTGCCTTCAGAACAGTAAGAGTGTGATGACCAAGACCATGTTTGTTGGTTACCTGCGCCTGCCTCCTGAGCATCCGAAAGAGCTCAGCAAGGATGCGATTTGGCAAAAGCTTCTGGATCATAGACTTCTTATTCCCGCCAAAGACACTGCCAAATACAAGGACTCCGTTATACCTTTCATCGCGTGCACAAACTCTTTGGGCGGCATTGTCAACCTGGCTGTCGCTTCGGACACGACGGAGCATCGCGAAGTTCATGATATTTCAGCCTTGATGAATTATGCGCATGGTTGCGGAGATCGCGAGGCGAACGCTGCACTGGTGATTGCTTACTTGGACAGCCAGATCAATTCTGGAAAGGGCGTGGGCAAGGGCCACAAACTACCCGAGGCACTTGAGAAAATGAAAGATCTTCGCAGTAAGTTGTCGGCAGCAGAGGAACTGCTGTCTCGTATATGCGAGAAAGCAAGCTCATCCTTGCCGCGGGAAAGCAAGTCGAATCGCCCAGATGTGGGTGGGCGTCCCAAACGACGCAGGACACGCAAGCAAGCCCAAGGCAAGGAAGAGCCTGAAGCGGCGGAGACTGAGCCTGGTGAGCTCCCTGAACCACCTACGTTCCTCCAAGAGAGAAAATTTATCTATGACAGAAACTTCCAGAACATGATCCGCACCCGAGCGTATGTTCAGGGCGACGGAGCTCAGAAGTTTTCACGACGTATGCTCCGGGTTCTGTGTCCTCAGACTGTGGACTTCGATATTCAGAACGCTGTGTTTGTCATCCTTCAACAGCTGGTACAGAAGCTGGATGTATCATCTTCCATGCCACAGGCGTTGCTCGATATTCTTGCGGATTGTGCCAAGAAGCGACAAGAAGTTTGCGAGAACAGGCTGAACTTGTCTGAGAAGAAAGGCAAGCATTTGCTTCACGAACTACTGTTTGGGGGCATACCGCCAGCATGTTTAGCGCAAAACCATTTCGTGAAGGACTTCCAACAGCTGTCCTTGTGCTTGCGATGGTTTGCCTGCAGTCTGTTGCCAGAAACGTATGCCGTGATCAAGGAAATGTCAGCCAAGAAGCATCCGGAGGCTTCAGCTTTATTCTACCTCTATGCGGCTATTGAGGACTATATTCTTCAGGCCTGGGAAGTCGCAGTCGTGAAGTTGAAGCCCAAGCACGTTTCCTTGCACTTTGACGGTCTACGTTGCATGGGCATGGAGACGGACATGACTACAGATCAGCTCTGCACGCATTTTGCCGAGCACATAAAAGCGGTTACAGGCTTCGACGTCGTCATTGTTGAAAAGAAGCATTTACTTTTCTCTGAAATGTGCTTCGAGTCTGAGGACAAGACAGACAAGCTTGACTTCGACACTGTCCTGACGGCGCCTGGCAACTGTATCTGCCTGGCACTTGCAAACCTCTTTCCGAGTCGCTTGGATCAGGTCAAGAAGTGGGTGAGAGCGGCCACGTCCGAGAATGCAGACGCCGAGCGCACGTGTTCCAGATCATACAAAAAGACATTGCAGGGGCTCAAAGTTCATGCTGTGCCATCCATGGAGCCTGTCTTTCAGATTGGTGGCAACTACCTCATCCATATGGAGAACGGAGGGCGTCCACATTGCATCTCTTGTGTGGTTCGTGCTGAGAATGATGTTGTCCTAGTGGACTCCCGGGGGCGAACGTACAGCACAGTGTCACAAGTCGCAAGCTTCGCAGAGACTTGCGTCGACTCCAAATCCATCGTGCTCTTCAGGTGCTTTGAGAAACAGCCTGGCTCTATCCCGCCTGCACAAGCTCTGAAAGAAGGCCAGGAATTACTTTTGAATCTACAGGCAGGAGCTGGGCAAGACGAGTGGACATCTTGCTGGACTCAGCCGGCTGACTCTTCCCTTCAGGCTGGGTTGTACACACTATGGTCTAGCCGACGTGTGTGTGTGTGTGTGGCCCCATATATGTTGGCAGTGAGGCTAGCGTGCGGTGAATGTGAGCATAAATACGAACAGGTCACCTAGACGGATAATGTTGCTGCAGGAGTCGTCCGACGATGAAGGAGGAGATCCCGAGGAAGAGCTCGACGAGTCCCTAGTCCAGGTATCGGACACGCTCTTGCGTTCGATGGAGCTTGAGGTATCCCGTCAGCTGAAGACCACATCCAGCGCCAAGAAGTGTCCGTTTTGCCCTTTCCGGACATTTCAGAAGAACAGCCGGGTGCAGAGCCATGTTCGGCGCTACCACGCCGTGGGACGGCAGTTCGTATGTTCTGGGACAAAGCAACTGAAGATAGTTGCTGCATTGTTTGATGACGATCAGATCTCCGGAAACCCCGGTGGTAAGTATCTTGAGAGGAGCGCCTGCATCCTGAGCAAGAACATTGTTCCTGGGCTGTC